ACCAGCAGGGAAGACGCAACCTGATCATGGGGGTAGAGAAGGCTTCTCTGATGACTTGACATTTGAGTTGAGATATGAAGACTATCTGGAGTTAATTAAGCAAGAAAAACTGGGTGGAGGGAAAGTGTCTGTCTAGATAGGGAAAGCAGCACGTACAAAAGCCCAGAGTCTGAGTGGATCCTGAGGCCCTGGATAGGAAGCCTTATGGCTACAGCTCAGAGAGCATGAAGAAAATGGTTCAGCCTTAGTGAGACAGGCACACGTGAGGCCTTATTAGGTCAGATCACGTGGGGCCTATTAGCCATGTCAAGTATTTTCATCTTCCTCCTAAAACCAATGGGAGGCTGTTTTTGGTAAAAGTATCACAAACAGATGTGTCTCTGTTATCATCATAACTACCTAGTTACTAATAGAAAGAGAGCAAAGGGGAGGCCAGACATTAACAGCATGGTCATCTGGGCAGCTTCGCCAGGAAGCTACAACTTCATACTAGGGAACCACCAGGCCATTCCCTACAGATCTATAGGAAAAGGGATCAAGCAAAGGGAAAGATGGGCACGTGCACAGTGAAGTTGGGGTGACTTAGGGAAGGTGCTGCCTGTCAGTCTATCCTGGGAAAAAGATAATTGGCTAGAGCCACTGCAAGTGCAGGGAATCCTGATGGGATAATTGGCTAAGCTCCTGGTTATAACCCCCAGACAAAGCGTTCTTGCTCTCTTGCTTCGCTCCTGCTCCCTTGTGCTCGCTTGGTCTGTGACCCGCACTCGCCTGTGTGCTAGCCCATTGTGTGGCAACAGCAGCCGCAGGGCCCATGGAACCCCAACACCATGTACCGCAGCTGGGAACACAGGCTAAGCTAGCCAGATGCTGGACTGGGCTGTGCTCTGATGTGGAGCAGAGACTCTGGGCAGTGGCTTTGATCTTAGCCCTGCTGAAGACAAAACTGGACTTTTTCCACGGCGGGAAAGCGGGAAATGGGACCTTGGAAATCCAGGGGTTTGAGATTTCATGCAAGTAAATATCACTCATTCTCCCATGGGACCCCAAGAACTCCACTTCCAGAGGGCACCCTACCAATAACACCTCCATTTTGAAAAGAACAAATCAGCTGTCTGGAGAATGGACTGGAGAACGGAAAGAGAGGAGGTTCAGAGAGTAGTTGGGAGACTAAGATGACCAGGGACATCCAGGTGAGAAACCCAGTAGCTGGGCCCAGCTTAGACAGAGGTAAGAGGCGCAGACAGATTTGAGGAGAGGATGGTGAATGCAGAGGTGGGAAGTAGTAAGGATTACTACACAATGGCACAGGGTGGAGGGCAGCATTTACTGACAAAGAGAGGAGAACGTAGATGGTTCATGAAGGAAGAGAAAGACCTTTAGCTCACACACACCAGACCAGCTCACATGTTTGTAGCCATATGACTACAAGCAAGTTGTCCTCTCTAAGCCTTGATTTTCTCATCTATAAAACATGGAAAACTGTTCCTAACCTCATAAAAACACAGGACAGATTATGTAAAATAAGATAATGCAATAAAGTTTTATTATAGAACCTGGCACACAGTAAGTCCCAATAAATGTCACCAGTGGTTGTGTTTATTACGACTTAAGATGTCATTTAGACTTCCCACTAAAGAGGGATGTGCTGAACACTTATTTCCTTCAGACCCTCCCAAAACCCCCTTAGAATGCCAATAAAACGTATGTTTTAAAAGGCATAAATCTACCTGAAAAAAAGGAAAACAAAAAAGAAGAGAAGAGGTAAGAGCAACAAACTTTTAGAAGGTGGAAAGGAGATGGCCAACTCCTATGTTCCGGTGTACCGTAAAAAGCAGAATCCTAAACCAGTAGTGGGAAAAGTCAATAAACAATCTGATTTATTCAGCAAAATCCTCCATGAGACTCAGGAATTGGTGCCATCAGGGAACTCAGGGAGTGTGGTTGAAGGTGGGCTTAACACAGAAGGACCACTTAAACATTTTTTTAATCCTCACCCAAGGATACTTTTCCATTGATTTTCAGATAGAGGGGAAGGAGGAAGGGTGGGAGGGAGGGAGAGAGAGAAAAAGAGAGAAACATTAATGTGAGTGAGACATCGATTGGCTGCCTCCTGTGCGACACCGACCAGCGCCGGGGATAGAACTGCAACCGAGGTACATGCCATTGACCAAATCTAACTGGAGAGTCTTTGGTCCACGGGGTGATGCTCTAACCACTGAGCCGAACCGACGGGGGCAGGACCACTTTAACGTCTGCTGTAAAGCAGTTAAGACCCACTGCTCCGATACCCTCAGCCACCCCCACCCAGGCAAGCACCTGCCCCTACCACTGACAGAAAGCTGGAGTTTTCCCCCTCTGGAGAATGTAAAACAAAGTCTCTGGACTAGGGAACAGCAGGCAAAGATGGGAGTGGAGATACATACTGACAGTGAGTAAGTGAATGTTTCTTTCTTGAACACTGTCCTGTCCCTTTCCCCATCTCGGCTTCCAGAATGTTGGCAGCCATGCCGTCAACCTTTAGGCAGGAGATTAGATCTTTCTCTGTGGAATTCACTAGCCCAGAAAGGGAACCAAGAAGCACTGACATCAAAGTGTGCACAAGACAATGACCTTGCCAGATTGTACTAACCCACCCACAGATCCCGAGCGAGTGTCTCACTCTTAGTATGAGCCAAGAGTCAAAAATATCTGCTCTCTGATATCATGGTTATGTTGTGTTAATATTATAAAAATGAAGGGATTTTACAGATATAATTAATGTCTCTAATAAATGACTTTAATCAAAAGAATAGTATGCTGAGTGAGCCAGGCTTAATAAGGTGAGCTCTTTTTTTTTTTTTTTCCTCATCCGAGGACATTTTTCCACTTTTTGTTCAGATAGAGTGGGAGGGAGAGAAAGGAAGAGAGAGAGAGAGAGAAACATCGACATGAAAGGGACACATCGAGTGGATGCCACCCGCACGACCAACCAGGGACGGGAAAAACTGTAACTGAGGCACGCGCCCTTAGCGGGAATCGAACCCAGGTCTCTCTGGACTGCAGGCTGACGCTCTAACCGCTGAGCCAAACCGGTCAGGGCTAAGGTGAGCTCTTTAAAAAAAAGTTTTAGCTCTGGACGGTTTGGCTCAGCGGTTAGTGTCAGCCCATCGATTAAAGGATCTCAGGTTTGATTCCCAGTCAAGGGCACATACCTGGTTTGAAGGTTCAATCCTGGCCCCAGTTGGGGTAGTGTGGGAGCCAATCAATTGATGTGTCTCTCTCACAAAGATATTTCTCTCTCTCCTCGCTCTCTCCTTCCTTCCTTTCCATTATATCTAAAAAAATCAATGGAAAAATATCCTCAGGTAAGGATTAATAAGAAAAAAAAAGGGTGGGGTTTTAGCAGAGACAGTCAGAAAAATACTCACCAGCTAGCCCTAAAGAAGTAAACCTCCATGTATGAACAGCCTAGAGGGGTAGCCTCCAGGAGCTACAAGCCAGTTCTACAATTGCAAGAAAATGAATGCTGCCAGTACCAAGCAAGCTTGGAAGAGGACCCCAATCCACAGATAAAAACCCAGCTGCAGCTGACACCCTGACTGTGGCCTTTGTCAAATCCTGAGCAGAAGACCCAGCTGAACTGTGCCTGGACTCCTGACCCATGAAGATAAATATAATAAATGTATATTGCTTTAAACCAGTAAGTCAGTGGTAATTTGTTATGTATTATATAAAACTGATATAAAATTATATACAAAAAAAGGTAAATTTTACTTGTATAAATAATACCTCATTAAACCAGAATGAAAAAACTATGATAGCAGCCCCACCAGTGTGGCTTTATGGTTGTGGATTGTCCCATGCACCAAGAGTTACCCAGTTCAATTCTTGGTCAGGGCACATGCCCAGATTTCTGGCTCAATCCCCACCAGAGGGTATGCAGGAGGCTACCTCAGTGTTTCTCTTCCACATTGATGTTTCTCTCTCTCTGGGTATACACTCAACTCAAATAAGCACTCATGGACACCAAGACATGTAGAGAGAGTTCATAGTGGCTTGTTTCATAACAGAAAAGTGGAAACTACCCAAATGTCCACCAATACTACAATGATTACAGTGTGACTGAATAAACTCATACACTGAAATACTAGACAGCAACGAAAAAAGAATGAACTGTTATATGCAACAACATGGGTAAATCTCAGAGATACAATGTTGAACAAGAGAGGCCTGACTAAAGAGTACATACTATGATTCCTTTCATATGAAATTCAAAAACAGGCAAAATTAATCTAAGGTGACAATGTTCAGATGATTAACAGAGACAGGGTCTGAATGGGAGGGAGTATGGGAAAGCCTTCTAGAATAAAACCTTGATATGGGTGATGTTTACATGGGTACAAGTGTATGAAGAAAATCACCAAATAATATTTTAGATGTGTATTGCACCACATGTAAATATAAAATGTTATTTAAAATTATGACACAATAAGGAATATTTTTAAAAATTATCATTTGCATTACATTATAATTTATTTTATGAAATGCTGGTGCTAGCAGATGACAGCAATTATGATTTCAATTACCTTTCCAGTGCCTGTACTTACAAAAAAAAACAACCAACTGTAATTCCATACTAGTACACTAAGATAATTTCCCCCCCCTTTTCATTCTGAAAAAGTATAAACCTGCAGAAAAAGCAAAAGACTAGTACAATTAATAACCATATATCCTGTACCTAGATTCACCAACTGTTAACACTTTGCCGCAGGTACTTTCTCCCTATCTCAGTTTTGGCTGAACTATTTAACAGTCTTTTGTATTTTTCATTTATTTTTGGTCATTCATGACATTAACAATTCTAATATAACTTAGTTTTCAAATATTCCTGGTCTACCAGACCCAGCGATTTCCCTTTACTCAGTGTCTTCTACAGTCTTTGGCAGAGTGCAGGCACTGACGCACCTGTATCCTGCCATAACACTCAGGTTAAGAAGGCAGATCATTCTGCTTTAACTCACCGCTGAGTCTGAGCAGGCCATGGGGTCTGGTTTGTCATGGGCCCTGAATTCGTGGGACTCACTAGCATGGCACTATAGATGTTGGAAGCGACCACAAGTATGCAGAGAAGTATGGGCCCAATGATTGCTCCTTCCAGGCCCAGGTAGTATGCTCCACCGGCCACTGCCAAGCCTGTCAAGTAAGGATGGCCACCTCTGAAATAAAGAGCACACAGATTAGCTCATGACTTTTAACAAACATAAACCCTGGAGTAAATCTGAAATACGTTCGCTAATACAATGTTCATTCTCTAATACACCAGGCTTTTGACTACTTTATCAGCTTTCTTCAGATTATCTCAATGCAGATAACCGAACACTGTAATAATACTAAGATGCAAGAATTGTCTTGCCTACGTACACGTCCGACATTTTGTACAGGTCCAGCAACTGAAGGAGTAAAATCAGTAATGTTAACAGGTATCTTGCACCCAGTACATGGCTGCCTAAAGTGGGTTAATGTTGGCTTAGGATTGGTTATAATAGTCACCTGTTAGGTTTACCTCCAGATCAAGGATAATTAAGTGAGCCCACTTTAGCATGCAATTAATTATGCTTTTTAAAAGATAATACAATAGCATCTCTGTTACTCATAGGTTAGACTTCCAGCAACCCCCCAAAATATAGTTTTTAACAAAGGCAGTGATAAAAGGCCTCATGAAGAAAATATCCATCACAAAACCCAAGGTTTTTATTTCACACGAGAGTCATGATTGCCCTCCAGCTTATCACAACATCATTTACATAACTGGAGTGAAATAAGATAGAGCATAACCACACAACACAATGATAACAATGGCCACTGATATAAGGGGAACTTGGGAAAAGGTATGTTCTGCTTGTTTCTAGGTTCTAAACACACATGACTACAATTTCAAGAGGGGCAAATAACTATATACCCTAGAAGGGTGTATTGTATTATATTATAGTTCAATAAGTAACATTTAAAGTAAGCCAGTGTTGCCCTGGCCAGTTTGGCTCAGCGGTTAGAGTGTCGGCCTGCAGTCCGGAGAGACCCAGGTTCAGTTCCCGCTAAGGGCATGTGCCTCGGTTGCAGTCTGTCCCCGACCCTGGTTGGGTTGTGCGGGTGGCAGCCGCTCGATGTGTCCCTTTCACATCAATGTTTCTATCTCTCTTCCTCTCTCTCCCTCCTGCTCTATCTGAACAAAAAATGAAAATATATCCTCGGGTGAGGATTAAAAATAATAATAATAAAAAAAAATAAAGTAAGCCAGTGTTCAGAAAACCAATACATTATATTCATAATTTATTTGTCTTCCTTATTCTAAAACAGGACACTGGGCATCATTTCATTTTTGCTATGTCAATAATTGATACATTTAAGTAAAGTATCTATTAAAAAGACTTACTGCTTAAGAAAATGTCTTGAGAGCTTATAAATAAATATTTATTTAAAAATGAAACAGACCAGCCGGTGTGGCTCAGTGCATGAGCATCGACCCATGCACTAAGAGGTCACCAGTTCAATTCCCAGTCAGGGCACATGCCCAGGATGTGGGCCAAATCCCCATTGGGGGGCATGCTGGAGGCAGCCAATCAATGTTCTCACTCATCAATGTTTCTATCTCTCTCTCCCCCTCCCTTCCTTCTCTCTCTCAAATCAATAAAGAAAAAAAAACAAAAAAAAAAAACAATTTAGCCCTGGCCCATGCACTGAAGGGTCTCAGGTTCAAATCCTACTTCGATTCCTAGTCAAGAGCATGTACCTGGGCTGCAGGTTCAATCACCAGCCCCTGTTGGGGTTCATGTAGAAGGCAACCAATCGATGTGTCTCTCTCACATTGATGTTTCTCTCTTTATCTCTCCCTCCCTCTATCCTTTCCTTCCCCTCTATCTAGGAATCAATGGAAAAAATATTCTCCGGTGAGGATTTATTTCAATAAATAAATAAAGTTATGCAAAATCTTTCATGTCCTAATGATGTTAGTTAAATAAGGTATTATTTTGTTATTAAGAAAAAAAATCACAGCCCTGGACAGTTTTTCTCAATGGTTAGAGCATCAGCCTGCAGACCAGAGTCCCAGGTTCAGTTCCCACTAAGGGCATGTACCTCGGTAGCGGTTAGTCCCCAGCCCCAGTTGGGGTCGTGTGGGTGGCAACCAGTTGATGTGTCTCTCTCACATCAATGTTTCTCTCTCTCTTCCTCCCTCTCTCCCTCCTGTTCTATCTGAGGATAAATGCAAAAATGTCCTCAGGTGAGGATACAAAAAAAGAAAAAAAGAAGAAAATCGCATATATATTTTAAATTTTACCTAGGAACCTTAATATAAAATGTATAGTTTAAAGAAATGAAAGACCTTAGCTATAAACTATGTACCTATTCCTCCTGTTTAAATTTCAACTGTTAAGCACTAGTCAACCACACTCTGATGTTCCCTTATCTTTAATATTCTCCATCAAGTTTTAGGCATAAAAGCTCCTATAAGACTTGTTTATGGAGCCCTGGCCGGCTTTGCTCAGTGGTTAGAGCATCGGCCTGCGGTCCAGAGAGACCCGGGTTCAGTTCCCGCTAAGGGCATGTACCTCAGTTGCAGTTTGTCCCCGGCCCTGGTTGGGTCGTGCGGGTGGCACCACTTGATGTGTCCCTTTCACATCGATGTTTCTCTCTCTCTCTCTTCCTCTCTCTCCTCCCACTCTGTCTGAATAAAAAATGGAAAAATGTCCTCGGGTGAGGATAAAAAAAGCCTTGTTTATGAAGTTATTTTTGCTTTTTGCTCTAGACCTCTGGGGCTTTAGAACAGTTCTATATCATTTGTTTTCTATTTTAACTTACTAGAGAGAAAACAGATAGCATACAATTTGTCCTATAATTTCAAATTAACTGAAGGGTGTACTCTTTCTATAAACTTAGATCCCCATCTATGTTTATTGTGATGGTGAGTTTTACTTAAATAAAACTTAGTACATTCACTATTATGATAGCTTCAGTAGGCCATATCCTGAATTTGAGAAGCTGATCAAAATTCAACATCTGGTAACATTCTAGATTTGAATAAGCAATGTGAGTCTAAATATGTAACTAAATGAGAACTGGCTTGATTTACTTAATGCAATATCTAAAAGAAATACAAAAATATACATTTATTTTTGATACTATGTGACCAACGTTTGACTTCTGCCTTAAATTTAATTTTTACTCATCAAAGAAACATACTATCTAATATCTTAAGTAAGAGAGCTCTGTTTGTCAGATACTAGCTTGATGAGACTTGGTTTTACATGGAAATTGCCAGACATACAACCTAATAATGTTTTTCTCCAAAAGCAAAGACATTATGAAAATAATCATCAACTCGTTACTTTGAATATTTTACATACATCTAGTAATATTTCTTTCCTAGGTTAAATGTCACTAAATCAGATGACTATTCACACTTTTGTTTTAACCCAAGGTCTCATATAGTATAAATTATACTTACATAATACCAAAATACCTGCAAACAATATTAATTACATTAAACTTTGATTATATCAGTGGAATCACAAAAGGCTATTCATTAAAAGCTCTTATCACCTGTGCTTTCTCCCATCTCCAAAAGAAAAGTCTCCTTTAAGAGGCCACAGAAATCCCTGGACGTGATTCGCTGGAAGTTCTGTCGAATACTTACCCTGATATATCAGAATAGATGGCAGTATCTACAAAGTATGTTGGCAAGAGATGAAAAACCAGCAGCAGAACGGCTTTGCATCCTAAGCCTTGTGTAAGCCACAGGTCTAGAACTGCAGGTACTGCTGCCCAGTATGTTCCCAGAAATGGCACGGCTCCAAGGATTGCTGCTAAAGCTGGTAAAAGATTAATTAAGAAATGCAACTGAACATCATCAAAACAATAACAAAAGAGCAGAACCTAAGCACTAGCTCCTCCTACTTAAAAATTTCCACCAGAACAAGTTAAATACCAACTCAAATTCTCGGGAAATGTTATGCTCTTGTTTAACTGACTGTGCCAGTTAAAGTCCAATATCTTAAAACTTCATGTTGAAAGTCTTTCTAAAATATATGTCTACTTCATGAATCTATTCTTTAGCAACTAAATTTTTGTGTCTTGCAGCTGTTATTTTGAATCAATAGTTAGTTAATATACAGTCCTATAATGTAACTATAGAACATTTGTCAAAATTTGTACTGAGTCCAAAGCCAAAACAGAAATTAATTTCTATAACTCAGATATGAGTATACATTTTCACCTTGATTCTAATAAAAAATTAAATGTAATTTAAAAATAACAAAAAACCCAGCTGGTTGAAGGAACTTCCTCAAGCTTGTCCCCTCTTCCAGAACATTATGTTAAAGCACCCTACTGAGAGGTGGGCTCTCCTGACTTAGTCCAGCAGATGTGGATTCCAGTTCTGGCCCTAACCTTAACCAGGTCTGTGACCTTGGAAAACTTTGGTTTCGCATCTCTACAACAAGGACATGACCTACCCTGCCTAGCTCAGAGGACTCTCATAAACAACCTCCATGTGCTCTCAGGATGCTTGCATGTCAGAGGGGGGCTTTGTGGACAACAAAGTAGGAAAGAACCTGAATGAACTTGGGAATGTAAAGAAAGAAGAGATCACAGGCCAGAGGGAAAAAATGCTGGTAGAGGCAAATGTGGAAGGCAGATATATTTAGGAAGGCAAGAAGCCACAGAAACAAAGGAAGAAAAAGTGGAAGGAGAGGAGCAGAGATAACAGAGAAGAAAAATAAAAGATGGTCATTAAACCAACCCGGTGCTTATGGAATGTGGGTATTATTGGATTAGACCTCGAGGTGTGGGAACAGCTGATGGGCCCTCAGAAGCACCCATCTTCCCCATGGGACAGTCTCCTTCACGGGAAAAAGCTATCTGACTCACTCTTTCATTGCTTCTGCCAATCAGTTTGGTTCAAACACTTACTGAGTGCTAATTACATGCTAGGTGTTGTGCTTAGTGATAGGACATGCATTCATTCAACAAATGTTACGCAATGCTTTCTATGTCCTGGGTATTGTTCTAGCTCCTGGGGATACAGCAATAAACAAACATCACAGATCATATTTCTGCTCCTAATTTGGACTAGATTAGATCTAAAAATTTAGTATTTTAAATTGGGAAAGATGACATTTCCCAATGTATGTAAAATGGCTTAACTTTCCTTAAATAGAGGACAGTGGAAGTTATGACATAGTTGTTACCTGATGGTATGAAGACAATATTGATGCCAAATATAGTGTGAGTCAGCCAGGTGTACAATCCATAGAAGCCAGCCATTTTGAGGGAAGCATCAAACACCCCTCTAGAATGCCCAAAGATAAGGGAAAGTAAATAAACATAGTATACTGTGATTCAAAAAAATCACTATTTCTAGGCGTCTACTTTTGTTAAAATCAGATAACAGCTTCAATTTTCCCAGTGCCTGAGAATGTTGTTTTCATTTTGTTTTACAGAAACATAAAGACCTATTTTAAAACCCAGAAATATGTTTTCTAAACTATTCTTTATATTTCTCTCTGATGAAAAAATAAGTGGAATAAAACACCTTTAAATACCCTAGTCACTGAAATAATTAATCAACTCTTCTCTTCTAAAGCAGACCTTTTACTGCCAAAATAGAGGAAAAGAAAATTGAGTTTGACTATCATATTTCTGAGGATACAGTTAAATCTAAACTTAAGGCCGTGGCCAGCCCTCCCCTCTGGGAAGAGCAAGTGAGGGATAACACAATTGTAATCAGTCTTTCCTCTCCTGTGAACAAAATTTCCCCACATTTCAATTATGTAACCAAGCCCACAAAGTAACTTCTGCAAATCAAAGAATGCAGGTCACTGTGAGAGAATTTATAAAAAAAACTAATGTATTAATTCCAAACTAAAGTCAGAGACGAAAACAACAAGAGGGGTAAAAACAGACACACATATTCGGTGATTAATAGGAATGAAGTCCTTAAAAATCTGTAATCTCAGGCACTTCATTTGTGCTTTCCAGTAGGAAAATTATTAAGACAGTACTGTGTGAGGAGGAATAAGAAACTGCTCAGAGAAAGCACAAAGGCAGAAACCCTTAGGTTATCCCAAGGTATCACATTACAGACATCAGGACTGTGGTGGGCACTGGTGAGGCACACTGACTCATGAGAAGGAAAAGCTATCTGCAATGGACAAAGCAGAGGCTGTGGCAGCAAAGGTGATACTGAACACACAAAAGGAAACACCAAGCTTTTCCAAAGTATCACAAGAGGTTACTGTAAGAGCCCAGTCAAGCTCTGGAACCTAGTGATTCAGTCATTTAGTAGGGTTTGGAGACACAATTTGGTGACAGAGTGGCTCCCCAAATCCTGAAACCTTTGTCACCCTGATCAGCAGCTTTCACTCAAGAATGTCTCGAAGGTGCCCTGTGACCTCTGACAAAAAGGACAGAGATTAAAGCGGTCTCAAAAAGATCGAAAGGAAGGGAGATGGCCACAGGAAACAGAAAGGACATGAGTAGGGACTGAGGAGAGGACACAAAGGAAGAGGAAATGGCTGAGGAGGAAAGAACGGCAGGCTCTCAAGGCAGGGAGAAGCCCAGATGGGGGACAGGGAAGAAAAGGGAGTACATCTGGTTTGGGCAACAGTTAGAAAAAAGGATAATGAAACTACTCTGAGGTAACTGGAAAGAAGAGACGAGGCTTAATAGAGGAGAAGAGATTTGAGATGCACCAGAATGGATTAATCACAGGAAGGATAAGATATCCCACAGGGAAAGCCTAGAGACAACGGGGCAATGGGCTGTGTTCTCATAAGGGACCCACAGACAAAGATACACTAGCCAGAGATAACACAATCATTTCTAGAGTAGAAAGAAAATCCCTCGAGTGCAGTATTCCTGGAGACCAAGGGAGAAAGAAGCTTTTGAACAGGAGGAATAACAGATCAAATATCACTGAGAGATTAAAGACAATAAAATCTAAGAAAAAATGTAGAGAATTTTATTAGAACTGGGGGAGTCCATGAGAAAAGATACAGTTGAGGTACTTAACATTATTTTAAAAATTTTAAGGCAAAAATTAGTTGACATCAAAGGCACAACAGAATATCATAACTGAATCACCTGTCTGGGGGGCAAGGAAGCAAGCTCAGTCCAGGAAGGACCACTTGCAGAAACAGCACAGTCCTCTTCTATCTTTGGGAATATTGACTGCTCATAATATTCTCACTAAAACAACGCTTAAGTAGTGTTGTGGACCCTAAATGCATTATATATTGTTTGCAGTTACTAAAAATACTCATGCAACCCAACGAGGGAAGAAAAGACAACAAAATCCCCTCCATCTTACTGCTTATGATCTGGTACACAAGCTTTATAAAACAGCAGAGAAAAATCCTCTAACAGCTTGCTAAGGAGATTTTTTAATTCCCTCAAATTCCTAGTTATTTTTCTTCTCTCTTTTTTTCTGTATCAGCTGTACTGAATTATAATTTATAAACAGTAAAACTCACCAACTTTAAGTATGTAATCTAGTAAATTTTGACAAATGTATACATTGCACAGCCACCACTACAATCAAGATATGGAACATACCCATCACCTCCATAAGTTCCCGCATGCCCTTTCATAGTCAATCCCTCCCTGAGCCTAGATATGCTTTCTGTCATTACAGATTTGCCTTCTCTGCAGCAGAGGTAGGGAGACATGAAGGTGCTTCACAGCTGACCTTGCAGCAGATGAGGAGGCGACAGGCCAAGGAATGCAGGCAGACTCTAGATGCGAGAGAAAGCAAGGAAATGAGTCTCCCCTAAAGCCTTCAGGAAGAACGCAGCCCTGCCAACACCTGATCATAGGACTTTTCAACTCCAAAACTGTAAGATAAAAAAACCTGTCTTGTTTAAGCCTCTAAGTTTATGATAATTTATTACAGCAGCAATAGGAAACTAATACAACCCACTATGTGCCAAGTACTGTTATGTGCTTTGTAGGTGTTATTTTATTGATATCCTGGTTGGGTCCCCTCATCCATGCACAAAAGAGATTCCAGGTCAGAAATCAGGTAAATCTGTTAAACTCAAAGTACACTGTGGGAGTTTTTTAAGACCAAAAAAAGCTCAAAATGAGGACAAGGTGGGCTTGAATTATCCACAGTTAAAAGGAAAAAAAAAAAACCTTCTGGAAATTGTTGGCTCTATGTACTAGATAATTTTGGTGTACTAACTCTAAATCTAAGGAGTCAATTCACCAAAGGCCAAGATGTAGGGTGAAAATTTGTTTCTGGGATCCAGATTTCATCATATATTATTAAGATAGTTTCATGCAGGTCAATTTGGTACTTACTGGTCCTCAAAGCCAAGAGACCATGCAACAAACAGAAGCCTGGTCAGTTACATTATAGCATGAATCTGGTCCTGGCTAGGACCTTGATTTGATGATGGCCACCTTAGCTGACTACTTCCAAAGGGTAACTGGGACTCAGTATACAGTTCTTGAGGTCCTGGTCATCCTATCAGAGTGAAGTGTTCAGGAAAACAGAGTAGATCACGGGGGTGAGGAGCAGAGGCACAGAAAAGCAAGGAGACCGACCAGCCACATATAGTGCTCACAACTTTATGTAGAACTCCTGTGCCCCATTCTGGCCTTCAGGGAGTGGGGAGCCTAGACTGGGAGGTCGGACACACCAGAGTGATCCAGTTCACAGATCCAACCATTTTGAGTGGGTTATTCCTGCCTTTTCGTCTGAAATAGCTCAGGCCCTCATTTAAAGCTTTTTCCCCCCCCTAACTGCACTGCATTCCCAGTTTAACAGATTTACTTGATTTCTAACCAGAGGTCTCTTTTCTGGATGAATCGATGGGAACAGGGAATCAGTGAAATCACATATGCAGCATGTAACACAGAGTTTGGCACAAATGTGAAGGGAAAGGATGGGCTGAAAAAAGGGATAAGACTGGAGGTCAAGGGCCCAGTGCTTCAGAACCCACTGAGACAGAACAGGGGACCTGAAGGAGTGGCCTTGAGGACGAAGACAGGAAAAGAATGAGGGAAATGAATGAGAAATGTTAAGGAAGAGCTAATAAGACAGGGATTCGGTAGAAAGAACAGGGAAATGGGAGTCACGAGACCTGAAACAGTTCAGCTGCTCTGGAATTCCAGTTCTGTCACTTATTAGTTGCATGACCTTGAAAACCATGACTTCTCTGAGCCTCACTTTCCTTGATTGTAAAACAGAGACATCAGCAGTCACCCCACAGTGTTATTATGAAAATTAATAATGCAATTAAAGTGCTAAGATTTGTGCCTGGTCCGCAGTAAGCACTCAAAGAAGTTGGGGCTATTATTGTTGTATCATTATTACTAATTAGCATTATAATAAGGCTAAAAACAATGCACATAATTTCTCTTTTCTACTTCCAGGTTTTGGAAGTACTTTTGCTTTGCGCTAAAGACGTACAGGGTATGACAATGCCGGAAATTCAAGTGGCATACCACAGAGTTCTGGACTAGTTATTTTAAATTGTAAAGTACTGACCAGCCTGTATGAGCAGTAACCCAAAATACTGAGTATACAATCACTCGTCTCTCAGGAATCCAAAATCCAAAGTTTGCTAGGAATAATTTACTCTCATAATCAAAACTTCTTCTGGCATATAACTAATGACATACACAATATAGTTTGAATGGGTTACCAGAAATCATTAGTTTAATCAATGCAAGAACATTCTTACAATCATTCCAGTGAAAGATCATTCTCTCATTGATACCAACCCCGCTAATCAATACTTTTTGGACACTCAGATTCAAGGAACATTTTCTCATCTTGCCATCAAGACAGACATTATGACACCCTTCATCAGATCCCTTGAAAAATCGCAATAGCTATGACTTGTGGCATTTTCTAAGACTGATTATGAATGACTTGTGCTAGGTGAACACATGGTGCCCTCGGCCATTACCCTTCCCTTTATAAATGCTCACAACTGTATGTCAGGCACCTACCGTAGAAATTTACAGAAAACCTACACCAAGTTCACCAGTCTAATATGCATGTAATATATAGGGTTCCTCCCCTCTCTACTGCAATCCTCTGTTTTGAATAGTGCCTGTGCTCAGTCCTCTGGGACCTTTCCTTTCAGTGATTCTCAAAGATTATTGACAGTTGCTAGATAATCTCTAACTACATCTCCAGGCCTCTGAAGAGAATTAAATTCAGAAGACTCTGGAGGCTCTTTTCCTTCCCTTTTGTAGCTGTGCTGATGTAGCTCAATGGAAGCAGAGACTGATACCAGCCACTGAGCTGGAGGCTCTCCGTTTCTACAAGGCCACATC